CCCCAAAACCCCAAAACCCCAAAACCCCAAAACCCCGTTATAATAAAATCTTGTTGAACCAAGATGGGGAGGAGGAAAGATGAGGTGTTTAGAAGGGGCGAAGGGAGGTAGAGGGGGTTTTGAGAGAGTGGAGAGGGAGTTTAGGAGTTGATGGGTTGTTTTGGAGAGGATAGATGTTTTTAGTGAGTAAAATCTGGAGTTTTAGGTTTTGTAGAGCCTTCTAGAAGTTCGATTCGGGGCTATGATAAATATAGCTGTTATAGTTCTAGATCTGAAGCTGACTGGCTTCAATGATCAGCAATGAGGTTAGAGAAGCATGAAAATTGCTTCAAAGTTGTTTTCTTGAGAGCTATTAATATAGATTTGCTGGAATATTTTAAGGTTGGTTTTATTAATCATAACCAATTTTTCAAAATCAATACTTTCTCTACCACCTACACAAAAATTTTCTTCAATTAAAAATAAATAAATAGGATAAGGTCTCAATGAAATAAGGAATAGGCTAGAGAGAGATCTGGAAGGTGATTACAGTCCAAAAATATTAATTATTTCCATAATGGTAGATGCTTTTAGTGACTTCTTCCTAAGACTGGAAATAGTTCTGACTTGCTATAAGCATACCAGCGCTCTCAAGAGAGCAAGGAATTATATTCTTGTTATTAATAAAGACTATTCACACTTTTTCCTCATAATCTGTTCCAATAAACTTTAAAGATACATAAAGGTGTTAAAGTCTTTGATGATTTAAGACTGGTCGATAAAGCCAGTTGATTAAAATAGAGGGGCAAATGTCTTCCCTTCTACTCTCTATCACTCTTACAAATCCTCAAGTAAATCCTGAGACTTTTGCTGTGACTATGAGCTTTGCCAAAATTCTCTGTCTTCGAAGTTTCAGGAAGGTAATATTTTCTTAGATGTAATCCGGAAAATTTTCAGAGTGCAGCATTTATGAGTTAGAGGAGATTATATAAGTTTGTTAGCCTAAAATCAAGCCTAATTAGTTAAGAAGATCTATTCCTTACGTTCTAATAGCAACTCATTACTATAATTTGAAAGCTTAGGCTATCATATCAAAAGAAGTCGTGCCCAAAATATCGAACATTTTCTGCTTAATTAATAATTTACAAAATGGTAGGTTAAAAGCAAGAAAATTTATTGCCTTCCAATAAGCATGAGATAAATTTAGTGCATATCGTATATAATTTAAGGCTTATACCTCCTGTTGATACACGAGAAATAACCTTATGTTAATATTAAGGAAGGTTACAGTAAGTCGAAATGGAGAAATTCTTCATGAATCGTAGTACGACAACTGTTAGCTTTATTAGTTAGAGGCCTAAAATTTGAAGTTGTACCAAAGTAAATATGTCTCGAGGATAATTGAGCAATTAGAGCAAACAGACGAGTTGTAGTATTTGCTCTGTTATATATTAGATTATTGATTAATATGTACTTTTCTATTTATACTAGCTCAAGCTCATTCGAACACAAGAAGCTTTCTATAATATATAAATAATCCCAAAATTATCAAAGAACTTAAGACATTTGTCCCAAAAGGTACTCTCTCCTGGGATGCTAAATGGAGCTAGTAATATAATTAGAAGATTAACTTATTTAAGAATTCAAAAAGACAAATTCATAAAATTAATTTTAAAGATGAACCTCAACATTCCATTGAATTTTAGAAATCAAGGTTGCTTACCCATTTGGGATTATACAAGCATGGTCATGCAACTGGAAAAGATCTACTGCTTATGCCCACCATCGAATGAAAGCTTACCACATCTGGACAGCTTTTGTACTAATCTTAATCATCTTTTGAGCTCGACCGAAGATGTTGTCAATTCACACTCCGAACAAAGGTAAGCCTTGACTCAAAGATTGGTTGATAGCCTATATATGTGTTTCTTTGTTGTAATTCTCAAAATAATACCAAAATATAGTCCTCAAGAGAATTCTGAGGCAAATGAGCAAATTAAGACTCAGCCATCAGAGAAGCAGACTGAGAGTGAAAATATCCAAAGTCAAGTACATTTTCAAAAAACCCAAGCTCAAGAGGAAGAAGCTAAAAAGAATCAAATAGATAAGAGGGTAATTTCAGCCAGAAGAAGATGCTCGTCAAGATTTAATATCAGGGCTAGACTTGTGAGAATGAGAAACCGTATCCTTAAGGATCCTACTTGTCAATTTGAGGCTTCTTCTAAGAAGTTAAGAGGAACTGATGATATGAGTCTAGGAAGAAGGTCTAGATACATTGGAATTTCAAGAAACAACTCCAACTGGCAGGCTCTTATCAATGTGAAAAATGTCAAGAAGTACATTGGAACTTTTGACGATGAAATAGAGGCAGCCAAGACCTATGACATATTCGCAATTGCTACGAGAAGAGAGAAAGCCCTTCTAAACTTCAGCTACACTGCTCAAGAGATGTTATCAGCCATAGACCACTTTCTCGAACACCGAACTATCAACACCCCTTCCTAAATTATCATTCTAACAATCTTCCACTTATCCCACGCCTATCTAACCCATTCTCTTCCTTCACTCCCTCTTCGCTTCACCAAAATCCCTCCCATTCCATCTCCATTACTATAAAATCACCAACACTATAATTCAATTTCTTCCACTCAACACGGGGTTTTGGGGTTTTGGGGTTTTGGGGTTTTGGGG